ACACACACACACACACACACACACACACACAATCTGCTTCTTACCTCCATCAAGAATAAGTTCCTTTCGTGAGCCATGTGTATGACGTCCTTGGTTCGTTTCACGTTCAGACACATTGGCTTCTCACAGAGAACGTGTTTGCCGGCTTTCAGAAACATCTTGATTTGGTCGTAGTGGGCCGAGTTAATGGAGCCAATGTAAACAACATCTGCAACACAAGGCAACCGCGTTCGAGTCAGGAGGACAACAGACTGTGTCGAGTTTCAGTCAATGCAGGTTAGCAAACTTCGAGGCAGATTCGCGGTAAAGACAATAGGCTGGCAGTTAGAAACAAGACTGTGAATAGAGGCAACATGACGCTGAGACGCTGATAAGCAGTATGCGAATTTTGTTACTATATTCGACTAAACACTCACTAGTTGTATTCCATACGAATATTGTACGTATACGCTTTTTGAAGTATGACACTGAAAGACACTGACTTATGATTGGCAGAATACTCTACAATTACAAATAATGCAGAGAACAGCTTCGATAAACCTGCTTTTGGCATCAAACGGGTAGGTAAAATTAGCCAGATAGTCTGATAACGTTGCACATATTTTCATACCGACGTCCTTATTGTTGGCCAGCGCTTCATAAGAGCAGTAATGTGGAATGTTGTGAATCCTCGCAAACTCCTTTCCTCTATCCAGAGAACTGGACGCTATCGTCACTACCTGAAACAATGACGTTGAGGGACAATAATTAAAAATGAGGAAATACTTAATTTTTCTAATCGTCTCTTTTTGAGGTTATACATTCATATCAGACGTAGATAATAGGGTTTCCTATTATCTACTTCTGATTCATATGTAACTGTCAGTTCAGGTTGATCGTATATATACGACTTGGATGATTAATCGGTATTTTAGTGATGACGTCATCAGCGGCTGCCCACGCGTGTACTTTCGTCTTCGGTAGCCGTTTAATCGGAGCGTAAAGAAGGACTTTATTGTTGCACCTATTTAGAGTAGGTCACGCTTTTTGAACCGCATTCAGCTGTTTTACTACAATATCGCACCACTGATCTCTATTATACTAAGTATAATAGTATAATAGAGTAATATAAATTTAGTATAGTAGAGATCAGTGGCTGGCACCCAGAATGTGGCGCCACCTGGTGTTGGGAAATGCTCGCGTCTGGCGCAAATTGCTTATTCGTAAATTATGAGGCGAGCCGTTGCAATCACTATGGTGACGAATCGCAGGCCATTCATCCCAGACCTTCACGGTATCGTAACGTCAGCTCGCCTTGCCTCTCCCTCACCACTGCCTCTAGTCAGTTGTAACATGTCGTAGGAAGTATTCTGGAGCGTATGCATCGGTTCCATCACCATTAGTCTAGAGCGTTTATCTCTCCCATGGAGCGACGTTTTACATTGCTTACACTTTATCTCCTCCATTGAGCGACTTTTCACACCGGTTACACTTGATCTCCTCTATGTAGAACATCGCTTAGACTTGCTCTCCTCCATGGAGCAACCGTTAACATTGCTGGCACTTGATCTCATCCATGGAGCAATCGTTCAGATCGCTCACACTTGATCTCCTCCATGAAGCAACTTTTAACATCGCTTACACTTGATCCCCCTTATGTAGAGCAACCTTTAAAATTGCTTACACTTGATCTCTTCCATGGAGCAACTTTTAACATCGCTTACACTTGATCCCCTCTATGTAGAGCAACTTTTAACATCGCTTACACTTGATCTCCTCAATGGAGCGACATTTTACATTGCTTACACTTGATCACCTCCATGGAGCAACCTCTAACATCGCTTACACTTGATCTCCTTCATGGAGCGACCTTTACCATCGCTTACACTTGATCCCCCTTATGTAGAGCAACCTTTAAAATTGCTTACACTTGATCTCTTCCATGGAGCAACTTTTAACATCGCTTACACTTGATCCCCCTTATGTAGAGCAACCTTTAAAATTGCTTACACTTGATCTCTTCCATGGAGCAACTTTTAACATCGCTTACACTTGATCCCCTCCATGAAGCGACATTTTACATTGCTTACACTTGATCACCTCCATGGAGCAACCTCTAACATCGCTTACACTTGATCTCCTTCATGGAGCGACCTTTACCATTTCTTGCACGTTATCCTCTCCATGAAACGACATTTAATATCACTTGCAGTTTTTCTCCCCCATGGAGTAGCATAGGATCATTTACCAACGGCTACACCCGCCGCTGGCGTTACGAACACAGCCTCCTGCTGCCGTCATACCTACTGACCTGGTGCTGCTCTTGTGGAAGCGTTGCGATGGCAATAACGAAGTCATTCGTTACGAGGCCGGCGGATACGATGCCCCACTTGAGTGATTTGTTCGCCGGTAGGTGGTGGTGCCCATGCTCTTCGTGCTCCTTTGCTATGACAGTCCGATAGTAGTAATCCATGCCTACTATTCCCGCCATGCTCTCTTTCTCTCTCTCTCTTTGCCTCACGATGTTTTAATGCACTGAAAAACTAGCCACACGTGTCCGAATGCGTTTCAATGTGTGTGTGTGTGTGTGTGTGTGTGTGTGTGTGTGTGTGTGTGTGTGTGTGTGTGTGTCAGTTTACGTGTATATACGTACGTTCTTTTGTGTATGTGTGTATGTAAGTGAGCGTACGTGTGTGTGTGCGTGTGTTGGTGTCAGTGTGCGCGCGTGTGTGTGTGCATGCGTACACTGAAGCTCTGTGCTCAGATTGAATAAGCGTATGATGGGGTCGACATGCTACTATAAATAAAACTAGATTTAGCATAAGGAAGGAGCCGAATTTCCCAAATCTGATATTTAATCTGCAGATATGATATATCAACGTACATGACCTGTCCGGCAATTATATCGCTGTTGCTCTCGTTTAAACTGCGTGTCCATGCTTGCCACTCCACCGTACAAATGTTTGTCACTGCTCTTTGCAAATATTGTTAAAACTGATGTGAGTGATAAACGGTTTAGATGGTATACGCGTGCACCGATGCGGCTCCGTATCCACAGTGCGCCTGGTTAGCATGCGGGTGCACCTACAGTGGTAGGTAGAGATAAACAGCTACCTAGCATGTATCTCAGGGGTTATTAATGACAGATTTGACAATTGACATTGTCACTGACATTATCATTTGTCAAAAATGACAAATTTGTCATTATTAACCCCTGCTGTATCTGGATCTGTGCGCATCTATAGAGACAGCTGTTAGCTAGAAACCGCATGCACCTACGCACCCATCCCTTCTGACCATCGTGACCACGCAACATCTGTCCCCGCAACGAGATGTCGCGAGTCTATATATATTGACGACTTCATGTAGGACTTAGTAAGCCGTTATCAGAAGGTTTATTAGTCGTAATCTTAGTTATGGTCACCATGACACTATATGATCGGTTTGGTAACGGCCCCTGGATTGGCAAATAACGTGCTGCGTTTGATACACTGATACGGTCTATCCCAAGGCATGAATACTGGCCAACACGTTTGTGTTCCCACATAATCAATTGTACGCCATTCGTTTCTACCTCATATTTTGTACAACAGAGACATTTTTAGAGGCCGTTATCGAGTCAAAATACCAGGCTACGCATTACTTGTGTCTCATTTATATGCTATCTATATTAGTTTTTATTTTATCTTGCAAATATGACATCAAATTCTACTAGGTAAACATGACATAACTCCATATACAGTATTTGCGTTGCAACGTTGACGCCTTTTTTTCATGCTTGTATACATGTATACATATGTATACATATTAATTTATTTAAAAATCAATATAGGTCTGCGCGTATGTGTAATGAAGCAAATTCAGCCGTGCTTATTCATAAAGGATTACACCGGCAGATTCGGTGACAGGGACTGGCCTCGGGCGACTAATCACTCTTGCGGGACTATTACCGCAAAGGCAGCGCACTAAAATAGAACAGTAATCTCACCCCTTCCCTCTCGACAATTAAAGAAAGGGGACGGTCTGACCAACGCGTAACATACTTAGATCACGTGGTATAGCCAGGTTAATTAGAGTGAAAGTAGAATAAAAAGGGACTTTTTAGAACAGAAAGACAGAGTCGAGAGAGTCGCCGTCGCTAGATTGTGAGTATGGTTTGGGTTTTGCATTGACTTCTTTGCTTGCTGTGTACTTGTGTGTAAGCTACTTTGATAGGGTGTAAACTATCTTGATACGGTTTATACTATACGGTAGTGTTTATTGTGCTGTGTTTATTGTTTAATTAAGGACCGTGTACGCACCATGCCCCTAGAGGGATTATAATATTTGTGTATTACTCTGTAGAGCATTAATAGAACTAATTGTTGTACGTTACATCTTGTTTCTGTCGTACGTTATCTACGTTCTCTCTATTAATTGTGCTAATGGTAACATCTTACACGCGCCAAAAGTTACGAACCTGGCCACTATACGACATGCACGAGCCGCATTACACATGCAAGACGATAAAACCCTTCACAAATAATTTTAATCACATTTAGTTTCGTAATTAGTACCACGTTTTATGCCAACATGAATCTGCAATGTTATTGTCACTATTTCTGGTTAATTCGTATAATGATATTATTGTATATTATATTCCTTATCTTGCGGCTCTTTGCGAAAAGTTACAATATGGAGTGTAAAACTGCCATCTTTTATTCAGCCGACCTCATATTAATTATACTGCCTAAATATCATTATGATTTTACCATCTTAGCAACTTTATTTTCGGTAAGGATTCTTTCATGTTTATTACCTTGATACGCTTGCTTTTAATGTCAAATTTATTACCGACCTATTTAATTTACGCTGATTACCGAGCGCATGCATGAATTCATAATTTTAATACAAGTGATAGCCGATATCCCCTTAAATTTAAAACGCTTGAGTCGCAGCATCACCATATTGGCCATAGTGGTTATCGCTAGGCCTATATGAATAAAGGCGGTGGCAATTTATAATTAGCACATAGTGTTTCGTAAGCACACAATAAACATATATCGCATCCTAACCTGCATGCCGCGACGACAACGACGACGACGACGACGACGATAATGACTGTCATGATAATGATGACGACGACGACGATGATGATGATGATGATGATGATGATGATGATGATGACGATGACGATGACAATGAAAATGAGAATGACGATGATGATAATGACGACGATGATGATGATGATGATGATGACGACGATGATGATGATGATGATGACGACGATGATGATGATGATGATGATGACGACGATGATGATGATGATGATGACGACGATGATGATGATGATGACGATGATGATGACACTACGTTAGGAACGGCGCGCTCATCATCTGATACGCGTCGATTCTAAATCAAACTTCACAACATCAGTTCGCCTAATAACACACAGGGACTACGAAAAGCAAAAGTCGGAAGAGATGCCGCCACATCTCCGACGTTTGCTTCACTGACCTTGTGCTCTGCCTCCGGCAGCGTGTGCGCGGCATTCACGAAGTCGGCACTGATCATGCCGGCACCGACGATGCCCCATCTGATGGGGTTCGCCTCCGGCAACTTGATCATTTGTTCACCGAGCGAGCTCCTACGCGCCGTCAGATAAGTTTGCGCGATGCCCCACTCCATGTTGACGATATTTTAGGGTTACGGATCAGGCAGGTATGAGGCGTCCGACTACACACCTACTACCCGTGCGGGCGCGCGACGCACGAAACACCGTTGAGACTAAGCGCATCCGATTCAAAAATCAACGTTATGTACTGACCTTTATCCGATATAGACGACGAGGGCCGGTTAGTTGCTAGAGCAACGATGGCGTGGGAGATCGGTAATACTGCGGAATGTTGATATGTTGCGCAAATATTGCTGTGTGTGAAAGATTAAGTCTGTGCGAGTGGTTGTGTGACCGTGCGTGCGGGCGTACGTGCGTGTGTGCTTGCGCGCCGGTGGTCGCGTGCGAATAGGTGTGCATGCGCGCGCGTAATATATTTGCGTGCGCGCGTGTGTGTGTGTGTGCGTGTTTGTGCTTGTGTGACCGTGCGTGCAGCCGTACGTGCGTGCATGTGTGTGCGCGTGCGTCGGCGCGTGTGTTGGCGCATTTGCGTGAACAGTTTGTAATTCAATATAGCATAATATTAACGTATGCGAATTTCTTACATACATTATACATAATATATATATATATATATATATTATATATTATGTATATATTTATTTATATATTACGTATAGGCCTACAAAAATAAATATGTATTTTTATAGGAAATTATGCCGACCTATTTTCCTCCAATTTATGTCTCTGGAGATGTTTTGAGATAATTCGAGGCCCATAGTGTACGCATACGTTATAACGATAACGTATAGAGATTATTTGCGCAGGCGTTACTTAAACTTTATCAGAGTTTTCTATCCAGTGTCATACAGAGACACTGTTAGAATATTTGCATAGAGCTCGCTAAGGAAGATACGACAGATGATGAATAGACTGTGAAACTGTACATGACGTTTTCCTTCCCCAGAGACAGCAAACATGTAAATGAATAAGCAGATTACAAGTAATACGTACAGTCGGTGCTTCGACCCTATACAGAAATAATTGCACTCGATATCACCCGTTTCGATGACATTTACTGATCAACCACACAGCGCACGAACATCTACCGCACGCACGCACACACGCACGCACGCTCGCGCGCTCTAACTCACCCCTCACACGCACGCACACACGCACACGGATTTGAGCGCGTGTATGTGCGTGATGGCATGTGTGTATAAGCGTAAATTCGTGCGTGTATGTGCGTGGTGGTGTGTATGTGCGCGTGTGTGTCTGCGTGTGTGTGCGCGCGCGTGTGTGTGGGTCTGCATGCGTGCGCGCGCGCGCGTGTGTTATAGTGTACGTGTAATGCGTCTCACCAACCTGGTGAAGCTCGCTCTTCAGGACGCTGAGCGCGACGGCGAAGTCACTGCTGATCAAGCCGGCGCCGACCAGACCCCACCGTAGCGGCTGATCCGCGGCAATGGCCGCCACCAGCTTCTTAGGATGCGCATGCTCGCGCTCCCTCTCCTCATCGGCCATCTGCTTCCTGCGGCTCCACGCGTAGTAGTCCATCGTCGCGGTTTAGGCACGGCCTCTCCTTTTACCTTCGTTTCTTCCCGTTCGGATTCGCTTTCACTCGCGGACGCTCGGACACGTACACTGTCAGGTGTGGCTCGCACGTAGACAATGGAGGCAAGTGCATGCAGGAGCTTATCTACACGAGATCAGGTGCCGCCCAGTAGCAAGTTCAACAGCCAAGCAGCGAGCACACCTTACACAGACACGAACTTTGTGGGTTTTTTTCCAATTTAATTTTTGCCCGTTTGAACTCGCGTGACTGACTTTGAACTCGCGTGACTGACGCTCCTCTTGGAATCGCGAATGAGTACGCGTCTGGTTGTTTGGACGTAGGTGCACCTCAAATTATACTTGCAAAAAGGCAATAAAGCGCAATAAGCGCGTTCTTGTTGCATTCTTTGCTCTGCGTACTTACATGCTTTATTGACACGGCAGCGTTGTGGGCGATAACAAGTCACCAAGGCTAGAACTGTGTAAGCAATAGCGAGCATGTGCACGATTAAAGATGTTTGTAAAAATCGGCGCGCGGAGAGCGAGAAGGTCGCAGAGAGAGAGAGAGAGAGGGAGAAAGAGAGAGAGAGGGAGAGAGAGGGAGAGAGAGAGAGAGAGAGATGACGGAGAAAGAGAGCGAGAGAGAGAGAGAGAGAGAGAGAGAGAGAGAGAGAGAGAGAGAGAGAGGGAGGGAGGGAGAAAGGGGGTGTTTCTGGGTCCACTTACCTCATGCTCCGCGCGAGGCAGCGTGCGAATTGCGACGGCGAAGTCGTTGCTGATGAGGCCGGCGGCTAGAATCCCCCAGCGAACAGGCTGCGTGGCGGGAAACTTAGGTCGGCCGACAGCCACTTCGGCTGCCCGCTCAGCCGCCTGTTCCTGCCTCATCACGTAGTATTCCGTCCCCACGAGGCTTGCCAAGGTCTGTGCCATGTCGCTTTTTTGTTGCCGGGATCGGACACGATACAAGGCTACACGCTAACGTGGTCCAGGTTGGAGTGGTGTTACCGTGTGTATGTGCCGCTCCTCGGGGTCCCCGCCTAACAGAACTGGACGTCTAGCAGAGCGTGTGTGAGCGTGTATGCGTGTGTGACAGGGTGTGTGGAAGTGTATCATGGTATGTGCGTGCGTAGCAGGGTGTGTAACAGGGTGTGTGGATGTGTATCATGGTGTGTGCGTGCGTAGCAGGGTGTGTAACAGGGAGTGTTGGTGTGTGTGTGTGTGTGGCAGCGTGTGTAACACTAGGCCTACATGTAGCAGGGTGTGTGACAGCGTGTGTGGCAAGATGTGTGACGATGTGTGTAGCAGGAAGTGTGGCAGGGTGTGTGGCAAGGCGTGTGACAGTGTGTGGCAGAGTGTGTGACAGTGTGTGTATCAGGGACTGTGGCAGGGTGTGTGGCAAGGCGTGTGGCAGTGTGTGTAGCAGGATGTGTCGCAGGGTGTGTGGGATGGTGGGGGGCAGGGTGAATAGAGACGTATGTAGCACGGTTTGTGGCGTGTGTGTATAGCAGAGCGCGTGGTAGCTAGGGACAGCAATCAGTAACATGGGATTGTAAATGCCCGTTACTCTTTTCGCTATGTATAGGTCACTGGCCGTTCCAACAAATCAGTAAAAATAAAAATAATGTATAATAAATCTTATTTCACCGCTAATAACTCTCCTATCTGGTGGTGCAATAAGATTTATTAAACATTATTTTTATTTTTACAGATTTGTTGGAACTGCCAGTGACCTGCGGTAAACAACTCCTCACTGCAAAAAAAAGCCGAACGTCGGCGCGAATGCTGACTCTCTGTACTACACTGTGCAGAGAGTCAGACCGCAGATAGGAGAGTTATTAGTAGTGCAATAAGATTTATTATACATTATTTTTATGTTTACTGATTTGTTGGAACTGCCAGTGGTATAGGTTACATCAATTTTACATCCTGTCCTCGATTTGCGTAAGTTGAGCGTTTGAGTTATAATAAAATCCCATGTATGTCTCTAAATTGCGCCGAGTATCGGTATCGCGATATTCTATCGATGACTAAAAGCGCGTTGATAGAATGGACTCTAATAATTTCCTCACGCCGCCCTCTCGCTCGTTGTGACTGCGAGCGCCAGCTATCGTCAGCTCTTATAAATTTCTCCGATGCGCCTCGCGCCTTTCATCGATGACCACATACTACGGGACGACATAGCGGCCGCACGCGCCGCGTCCTGCCACGCCAACAAAATCATTATGCAGGCCACAAATAAACTCGCACAAAAGCGACCATTGGAAGAGAAAGCGCGGTTAAATATGGCCATAATCGCGTCAGTGGCTTATCTGGCCGCGGCAGGCCCGCGTCTTATCGACGTCCCAGCATTTGGCTTCAGCGACTATAATAGGCTATAGGATTTAATAAGGATTCAATACAGTTGTGCGGCGAACGATAAGGACACTACTTTGTGCGCGCGTCGGATCGATAGATGGCCACGATCACCTGACGCCCGGCCTCGTACGGCACAAGACCTCTCTCCCGCTGCCCCTGTGCGGCAGGGATTGGCGAACGATGGCCGACGGTCCAATAAAACGGAACTGCGTTTCAGCATAGTGATCCGATTTCTGGATAGTGATCCGGTTTCTGGGGTAATGCGTGAGGGAGGTGGGATATAGACCGCGACAGTGGCGCGCGAGTCGCAATTAAAACGCGTTTCTCAACGCGGTAATGAAAAAAAAAGTGGGACGAAGACTGCGCGAGCAAGATAAACGTGCGGCGAGTTTACTGTATACTAATGGAGAATCGTGCGGCGTGTGTTATGGCTTCAGCACATAGCTTTCATAGCCGTGAGTGTGACAATGACTAGCGGGTCTTGACACACTCTATCTCTCCCTCGCTGCATTCCATACACCGGTGAATGATTAGTAGATCGAGAACCCGGTAATGGCAAATTCAGCAATTAAAGGGAAATTGGGCAAAGCTAGGGATTAGAGGGACTTACTTAATATGAAAAGCGCCTTAGGGATGGCTCGCAGAATAAGAATTTATGTCGGTTTATTTATTTATCTATAGCTGCTGATTTTCTAGCAGTTATCATAAACCGTCGATAAAATTTAGCTCTCCATCGGCTGCATCATATTATATATACATGTATATATGTATTATATCTACATATATGTATATATATATATATATATATAAATATATATATATATATATATATATATATATATATATATTTATTTATATATTACGTATAGGCCTACAAAAATAAATATGTATTTTTATAGGAAATTATGCCGACCTATTTTCCTCCAATTTATGTCT